TTCAGTTTAATAACTATACATGAACAAGACTCCTATTTTTTCCATTCAAAAAGTTGGAACAAGAAGGAAAAACAGGATTTTAGTATTTGTAAAAGCTATCAAGCTTTAGACAGACCTTAGGAAATGCATAGTAATACATAATAGATGGTCAATAAGTAAGAACTATTAATGTTGAATGATATTTAAGTCATAACATTTCAGTGCTTAGAGGAACTTTGGAGACCTAATCTGACTGATGCTTAATTAATATTTAAATATCACACTAGATTTCAAAATAACAGAACAACCTTTCCTTTGCAATAATAAAATATTGTGATTGCTTGACCCTGGCCTGGTGGCTGAACTGGTTATAGCATCGTCCTGATACACCAAGGTTGCGGGTTTGAACTCTGGTCAGGGAACATACAAGCAACCAATGAGTGCATAAATAAGTGGAAAAACAAATCAATGTTTCTTTTTCCCTTTCTCTCTCTCTCTCTCAAATCAATAAATGAAAAAAAATTTTAAGTTGTGATTACTCCATGTATACCAGCTGGGAACCAAAATTCTGATCTCTCACCTGTACTCAGTGACATTTTTTGAGAGTGAGGTGCCTTTATGCCAGCACTTAGGTAGCCACTGACAAAGGCTGGCTAACAACTGACTAAGCTATTTTGTCTAATTCGTTGTTTAGTGCCACTTCCATGGTGAGTGATTTCTGCTGAGTATAAATATGTCATACAAAGATCTTCACAAAGGGCCCTGCAGATTATGTAGCCAGCCCTGCCTGCTACTGAGCACTTTTTACCTCCAGCACCACTCAAAGCTGACACTCTGTACAATAGTCCCCCCTTATAAGGGGGTGGGAGACATGTTCCAAGACCCCCAGTGGATGTCTGACACTGAGGATAATACTGAGCCCTATATATACTATGTTTTTTTCTTATAGATACATATCTTTTCACTTAAAGGAGGCACTTTACGGCTTCTCTTTGGCATGTCCAAATTGCCAGCATCACTACGCTTGTGCTTTAGAGTCATTATTAAGTAAAATAAGGGTTACTTGAACACAAGCACTGCAAAACCTGAACAGTAGATCTGATCACCTAGACCCGTGGTTGGCAAACTTTGGCTCGCGAGCCACATGCGGCTGTTTGGCCCCTTCAGTATGGCTCTTCCTAGACCACTGGTCTAGGTCAGTGGTCAGCAAACTCATTAGTCAACAGAGCCAAATATCAACAGTACAGCGATTGAAATTTCTTTTGAGAGCCAAATTTTTTAAACTTAAACTATATAGGTAGGTACATTGTTATTAACTTAATTAGGGTACTCCTAAGGCTTAGGAAGAGCCACACTCAAGGGGCCAAAGAGCCGCATGTGGCTCGTGAGCCGCAGTTTGCCGACCACGGACCTAGATGGCTACTAAGTGACGAACTGGTGGGTGTGCTGGACAAAGGGATGCCCACCCGTGTGGGAGAGAGAGGAACTGGTGCAAGATTTCATCAAGCTACTCAGAATGGCGCACAATTTAAAACTTACAAATTGTCTATTTCTGGAATTCTCCATTTATTTTTTATTTTTTTTATTTTTTAATATTTTATTGATTTTCTACAGAGAGGAAGGGAGAGAGATAGAGAGTTAGAAACATCGATGAGAGACAAACATCGATCAGCTGCCTCCTGCACATCTCCTGATGTGCCCGCAACCCAGGTACATGCCCTTGACCGGAATCGAACCTGGGACCTTTCAGTCCGCAGGCCGACGCTCTATCCACTGAGCCAAACCGGTTTCGGCTGGAATTCTCCATTTAATATTTCCTGACCATGGTTGACAGTGGGTAACTGAAACGGCAGAAAGTAAAACTGCAGAAAAGGGGGAACTAGTCTATTATGGGCTGGGGCGGAATTCCTAGGTAGGATGGATTGCATACAAAAGACAAAAGAAGTCTACCAAACATTGCTTCTTCTCTGTAATAAGAGATGCAACATGTACCAGTTTGTTTTTACTCTGGAGGCCATGTCCTGGCACATCCCTGGGCCCCTAAAATCCTTTACCAAAGTGCCAAGTTCCTGAATTTTCATAAGGTCTATCTCCCACGCTCTGGAGCACATGTGTCATAAGATTCCAGCATGCCTCTTGCTCATCCTTCCCAATCAGCATGATGTCATCAATGTGATGGATGGATAGGATGTTCTGCAGGATGCCCAGGCAGCCTAGATCTGCTTAAGCCAACGGTCGCCAACCTTTTGGACCTCACGGACCACGGGTTGGTGACCGCTGGTTTAAACTATATTATGACACATAGTTATAGTAGGTGTTTTATCACCTTGATTTAATTCCCTCATCTCTGTCATTTATTACTGATTTTTCTCCTGGTTACTGGTCGTATTTTCCTGTGTGGCGGCCTCCGTATTTTTCTATTGGATGCAGGAACTTCTATTGTCAATTTTATGTTGTTGAGTATTTAGATTTTCTCATCTTCCCTTAAAGAGTGGAGACCTTGTTTTGACAGGCAAGTTATGTTTCTTGCAGGTCAGCTTGATATTTTTGAGACTTGTATTTAACTTTTGTTATCATAGGTGTACAGTACTTTTCATTTGTGATAGTTTAGCTCGACTACTAAGGTATAACCCTTCTGGGTTCTCAACTGAATGTCCCTTGTGATTAAGGAAGACTTTCCCTTCTGGCTGGTTCTCAAACATCTCCACCTCCTTTAAGAATTATTACATCTCCTTAGTTATTCATGGTCTTACCTTCTGGTGCCTTTATCCAATAAAACACACCTCAGTGTTCAACGAAGTCTCAAAAGGATATCTGTGCAGATTTATGGAGCTTTTCATCTACAAAGCTTCCTCCTCTTTCTAACTTTGCCGCCCAACTTCCAGCTGCCTCAGCCACCCTAAACTTAATCTCCGTGCCCTCAACTCAACTTTGTTCTACATGGGATCCTCTTTTTGGTGCCGATTCAGAAGGTGCCACCAGTAGAAAATGTAAGGTTGGCGGCGCAGGAGACAAAGTCAAAGTCAGAGAGCCAAGCGAGTCAGAAAGGAGCTTTAATCTGCGTCCCGGCGCGAGATCCACGGGTTCAAAAGGCGGGGCCAGTGAAGTCGAGCCAACAGGGAGCGGAGGCACTTTTTTTATACAGCTGTTCAGTGGGGGGGGCGGGGGGGGGCGGGGGACACATGAGCTGTGGGAGTTCCCGCCGCGGGCAGGTCTGACACAGGTTCCAGGAAGGGGCCAGTATCTGTGTCACCATCTGTCTGGTGCGCTGACCTGTTAGGAATTCCAGGGAGGGTCTAGTACAGGGGTCCTCAAACTTTTTAAACAGGGGGCCAGTTCACTGTCCCTCAGACTGTTGGAGGGCCGGACTATAGTTAAAAAGAAAAAACTATGAACAAATTCCTATGCACACTGCACATACCTTATTTTGAAGTAAAAAAACAAAAGGGGAACAAATACAATATTTGTATTTGCACGTGGGCCGCGAGCCCGTAGTTTGAGGACCCCTGGTCTAGTATCTGCGTCACCATCTGCCTTATGCATGCATGGCTCCTGGACTTCCCTCCGACCTAACAGAAAACTGGCACAATACTTCTTTTGCCTAACACCTGTAGTTGTATATATGACATTTTGAAGTACTTTCACAATTATTTTTACCTTATGGTACAGTGCTTTCACAAGGTTTAAAAGACTTTTTGTGTTGGATGATCCAGCTTAGAGAATACTAGTATGCACTTTGTTAGGAGCCAGGAGGTACAGCCTATTGTTCTGAGTTGGGAATAAGGCTTGGCCACTCACCTTGCCAGGAAAGTTTCTGTTTTTTCCTATATTTCAGCAGAGGGGCATGGTAGAGGAGGTCTAGAGCCACCACAGACATTTTTGGAGCTCTGGTTTTATGGAACTTTCTAAAGATTACTTAATGTAGTTGGATGGTCATGTTTCACAGGTTTTGTTTTTATTCAATGTACACATCCTCCAACATCTTCTAAGAAGGCTTTCAAACATTCACCAAGATGCCCTGGCCAGTGTGGCTCCGTTGATTGGAGCATCATCCCACATAAGGTCGGGGAGAGGGCCTGGCTTCATTCCTGGTCAGGGCACATGCCTAGGTTGTAGGACCTGGGCACTAACAAGAGGCAATGGATTTATGTTTCTCTCTCACATGGATGTTTCTCACTCTCTCCCACCCTCTCTCTACAATCAATCAACATATCCACGGGTGAAAACTAAACAGAACATTCACCAAGAAATATTAGGGTAAATATTTGAAAACTCATCAAGGAACATTAGACTGCCAGGATACACTAAATTGTTGGTTGGTTTGAAACCACTATTAACAGCGGAGGAGTAATATATAACCAGGCTTGGATCCCTAGCCGGTTTGGCTCAGGGGATAGAGACTTGGCCTAGGAAAGGAAGGGTCTCAGAGTCCATTCTGGTCAAGGGCATGCACTTCCGTTGCAGGCTCTCCCCCACGTGCAGGTGGCAACCAATCTATGTGTTTCTCTCACATCTTTTTTTTCTTTCTGTCTTTCCCAATGTCTTCCACACTCTCTAAAATCACTGGAAATCCTCGGGTTGAGAATTAAAAAAAAGAGAGAGAGAGAGCTGACTTGGAATCCAGCTCCAAATCGAAGAGCTGAGTTGCAAAGAAAATCAAAACCGATTAAATCTAAGGGTCCTCAATTAGTGTTTTCTGTCTTGGGGATTAAACATGGTAAAACCCAGACTCTGCCCACCAGCTGATCTTACCAGGGACAGTCCTCCTTTCTCTCTCCTCCTCCTTTTCATCTTATCCTCGCTCCGTTTTACAGTTTTTGCACCAAGTGCTCAGAAACGGGTCCTACCGAAACCGAATGGAGCCCAAGCCGAGGCCAGCGCCGACCCGCTCTCTGCGGTTCTCCCCAGTCTCGGCCCACTTCCGGGTTCCCTCCCGCGGCCCCGCCCCGCCCTCCCGTCCGTCCGCGGCCCCGCCCCGCCGCCCCCACGTGACCGCGCGGCGCGCTCCACCCCCGTCCCCGCTCACGTGACCGCGCCTGGGGAGAGAACGCCTGACCCCAGCCCCCGGCTTTCACCGTTCGCCGACTCTCTCCGCGGCTCCTCGGCCTCTCGCCCTTCAGCCGCCTGCGCGTCCCCACACCCCGTCCCGGGGTCCCCCCGGAGCCCTGTCCGCCATGCGGCTCCTGCCTCTGGGCGCAGGTGGGCCCGGGCGGCACAGCCCCCGCCACCTGCGCTCCTGCAGCCCAGCGCTGCTGTTCCTGCTCCTGCTGCCGGGCTGCTGCCTGGGGGGCTCCCGGGCGGCGGCGGGCTCTCGGAGGCCCAACGTGGTGCTGCTGCTCACCGACGACCAGGACGAAGTGCTCGGCGGCATGGTAACTCCTGTTTCTGCCCCGCCCCTCTCCCTCTCGCGGCGGACTCCCCGGTTTCTTGCCCTCTTTCCCGTCCCCACCCCGGCTCCCGGAACCGGCCGACTGGACCCCGGGTAGGTTTGCTTTGGCCACGCCGGGCCCTGGACGCAGGTCTGAGGGGCCGCAGGACTCTATTTCCTCTTCTTGCTCCAGCGTCTCTTGGAGGGTGACACACGCACACGCACACGCACACACACGCGCGCTCCAAGCAGCTTCCAGTCCGGACCTGACGGCTGCGGAGCTGGCGTTCCTTCGCGATCTCGGGACACACAGGTGGACGCCGGTCAGGGATGGGCAGAGCCAGCGAGGAGCAGGTGTTGGCTCAGGAGATGCCAGCCTTGAGCATCTTCTGGGTTAGGAGACAAGGACAGCCCCCCTGTGTGGGGACCTAGGCCACCTCCGCCTTTGTTCCGGGGCACAATGTCTGTGCCTGATATTTATAAAATAAGTGCTGAAATGAACTAATGTGGTAGGTAGCTTTCGAACTATTTCTTCAGGGTGTGCTGTGCCACACAAGAATCAAGAAAATCCAATTAGCCTAATTGAACACCTGGCCGATGCATTAGGTCCTGCCAGTGTGCCATTTTGTACCATCTGGGTGTTGTCATGAGACTTCATTCTTTCCCAGAGTTGACGTTGCTTCTGTGTCTTAAGAGTCTTGACCTTTATGACCCTCAGGAATATCCACCCAACCCCGTACTCACGTAACTCACCACAGCACAGAAAGTGGCTTGCCCCAGGCACATAAATAGTGGAGGCAATCGAGTCAGACTGACGAGTGCTCTGATTCTGGGTATGGTATTCCTCTTTTTAAGAGCAAGTGCTTTTTTTGCTTCCTTTCTTTCAGTTCTCTTTTTGCTTTGAGCAAAATGCTGAGATTATGAAAACACTTCAGGCAAGAGGTTCCGAACTGTGACTGTGTAGTAACACCCTAGTTCACTGTCTTTCATCCTGTCCATAAGTGAGTTGTGAAATCAGTTTAGAACTACCAGCATTTTCACTTCCCTACGGAACAGACACTGGGAATAGAAAATGTCTGTGTGGTACACGCGGTAAAGGTTAAGCATATATCCATATGTGTATATATTTCTGGGCTGTGAATTAAAATGTTTCTTCACTCGGGTCTGTGTGCAAGAGTATGGGATTCTTTTCTAGCTGACGTTTAAGATGCTTGCATTTTGACTCCACACTCCTGCCACATATGCCTCATTGCCTTTTAATTTCTATTCAGTCACATTGACATTGAAGAGTCTTGACTTAATTGCCCTCCTGGGTTTTATTTTGGGTTTTTTCTCCACCATTCTAACAGCTACATTTATTTTCTTTTAAATATCTCACATCCTTGAAAAGTATTTTATCCAGGAAAAGCAAGCCACCTCTATCAAAAATTAATAATAGTTTAGTGACTGAAGCTTAATTGAAAGGTAAAGCTTTCACCCTAGCAGGTTTGGCTCAGTGGATAGAGCGTCGGCCTGTGGACTGAAGGGTCCCAGGTTCGATTCCGCTGAAGGGCACATGCCAGGTTGTGGGCGCGATCCCCAGTGGGGGGTCGTGCAGGAGGGAGCCAATCGAAGATTCTCTCTCATCATTGATGTTTCTCTCTCTCTCTCTCTCCCTCTACTTTCCTCTCTGAAACAATAAATATATTTTTTTTAAAAGAAAGAAAAATGGGTGTTTAAAAAGAAGGTACAGCTTTCACATCTCTGTTGAAAACAAACTTCATCACTTAAATACAAGGTGTGGTGTTCAGAGTCCATTTCCTTCCATTTTTGTAGGCCACAGATGTGGTCTCTTCCCCTTAGCACAGTGGTTCTCAACCTTCCTAATGCCAAGACCCTTTAATACAGTTCCTCATGTTATGGTGACCCTCAATTTCATTGTTACAAATTGAACATAATTAAAGCATCGTGATTAATCACAAAAACAATATGTAATTATATATGTGTTTTCTGATGGTCTTAGGCGACCCCTGTGAAAGGGTCGTTCCACCCCCTCCCCCCACCAAAGGGGTCGAGACCCACAGGTTGAGAACCGCTGCCTTAGCATGTTAATCACATTTGCTTCTTTAAACCACAGCAGTTTCTTTTTTATAGGTGTTTGTACTGGAGAGAAGAGCCAAAATTGTGTGGAGGGAGCAAGTTGAATTCAATGCTCCAACTCTGGAGAATTCTTGCTTCTCTTGTAGGCTTTTACAGAATATTTTATGACTACATAGTTGTCAAACAGGACTTGAAGGGGAAGAGCTAAGACAATATAGCATTTGAGATTCTACTTGGAGCCAGAGAGTGAGGTGTTTTATATTTGTGCTTCAGTCATTACAGGAGTCCTCTGCTGTGGGTATTGTCCTTATCTTAACTAAGAGGAAACTGAAATTTAGAGGGGGCTATAACTTGGCCAAGGTTCATATAGCTAGTGAGGGACAGAGCCCCATGCTTTTTCTCCTGTTCGAAAATACTGTGATAATACTGTCTTACAGATGTCATTCCACATACCCACATCAGCATGGTTACTTATACCCCAGGTCAGAGATTCTTCAGGTGACATTCAGGAGCACCAGTGGGGTCATGGAACTCCTTAATTTACATGTAATAAATAATTTGTGTATATTATCTTCATTTTTTGTTCCCCCCCCCCAAAAAAAAGGATTATGAATTGCCACCATAGTTGGCAAAATAAACAGTGGTCAATCCCCCAGACTAATTCAGATGAAAGGATTGTATGATTGTAGTTTAATGTGAAACCTGTCATCTTTGAAATAGTCTTTTATGTGGTAGTGTCCTCTTTAACATTTCATTGTATTTGTTGCAGGTATCTGGGATTCCGTTTTTAGATTTTTTTACCCACGCAACTATTCCTGTAGATTTCTCGAATGTTTTGTTTTCAATCCTCACCTGAGGACATACTTACTGATTTTAGAGCCAGGGGAAGAAAGAGAGAGAGAAACATCAATGGGAGAGAGGAACATCAATTGGTTGCCTTCCAGTACACACCTTGACCGGGGATTAAATACCCAACCTGGGTATGTGCCCTGACCGGGAATTGAACCCACCACCTGTCAGTGTACAGGTTGACACTCCCAACTAACTGAGCTACACTGGCCAGGGTTTAATTTCTTGATTTTATTTAAATGTAATTATGGTGTGATGGACATACTGTTTTTCACAGAAGCACAGGATGCTTTTTTAAAAAAAATCATTCACTCTAGAAAAAGTGACATTCGGTTAAAATTTCAAGGAAGTGAGGGAAGGAGCTGTAATGAAATGTAGGGGAAGAATAAATACGTACATGATGTCTTTGCTTTGCTTAAAGCAGGGTGGTTTTCTATTGAAAAAGGGAAAGTTAGCTATAGAAGTACCAGACTTTATTTCGGAACAGGTGTACATGGGAGCTAGGAAAGTATATGACTCCTTGGGATTTTTATGGAAGGGATTTTGCTTCGGATGTAGTAAAGTGACACATTTACCCATATGCGAGTATAAGATTGGCTACTTCATAAAGAATGTGGTATGGCCTTAACCTCACCGTCACTATCTTTGCTTAGATCTTAAGGATCCATGTTAACATTCAGACACACATACACATTTTCAGTACAGTGTGGTTTCTTGCCTGGACTTGTTTGATTAAGCACAGATTTTATGCTTATCATTTGTACTACTATGAATAGTCTAAAGCAGTGATGGCGAACCTATGACACACGTGTCAGAGGTGACACGTGAACTCATTTTTTTGGTTGATTTTTCTTTGTGAAATGGCATTTAAATATATAAAATAAATATCAAAAATATAAGTCTTTGTTTTTCTATGGTTGCAAATATAAAAAAATTTCTATATGTGACACGGCACCAGAGTTAAGTTAGGGTTTTTCAAAATGCTGACACGCCGAGCTCAAAAGGTTCGCCATCACTGGTCTAAAGACTATGGTTATTAATATAAATCTCCTACATTAAACTCTAGATCCTTGTGCAGCCCTCCGTCAGTTCTTTGGCTTCTGCCTAACTCTCTGACCCTGTCTCATCCCACTCCCCCCTTTACTGACTGCACTGCTTCTGCCACACGGGCACTGCTTTTTGTCCCTCACACGTGCCTCTCTCCTTCTCTGGCAGCCTTTGTACTTGCTATTCACTCAGCCTGGAAGCGTCTTATCCTGGACGTTTGTGCGGCTGACTCATCATCATGTGACTCTCAGCACTGGTTACCTCAAAGAGGCCGTCCCTGACCTACCACCTAAAGTGTTTTCCACTTTTCCTGCCACCAGCTGTAAGCACATTATCCTGGTTTATTCTGTTCATAGCATTTTTCACCACCCAGAATGATTGCTTGTTTACCTGTTAGTTGTTTAAGTCCCCAAGAGTGCAAGGATCGTCAGGGTAGGGACCTTCTATCTTTATCCACTTCTATTGCCAAGACCAGTGCCTGGCACAAATTAAGTGTTTAATACATGTTATATAATCACACAGTATAGTCTTACTGTAAATCAGATATTTCTCAGTAACTTTGCATATTTATCAGACAATCTGATAACTAAGTCAGATATAATCAACTCACATGGACTTTTTCTTCACTTCCCCTTCACTCATTTCCCCTCCCTATATCCTCACTGTAACTCAGATTCTTCATCCATCTAACGCAGTGGTCAGCAAACTCATTAGTCAACAGAGCCAAATATCAACAGTACAATGATTGAAATTTCTTTTGAGAGCCAAATTTTTTAAACTTAAACTATATAGGTAGGTACATTGTTATTAACTTAATTAGGGTACTCCTAAGGCTTAGGAAGAGCCACACTCAAGGGGCCAAAGAGCCGTATGTGGCTCGTGAGCCGCAGTTTGCCGACCACTGACTAACGTTTTATGCAGCCCAATGTTCTGTACCTGAGTATAGCGCCCAGGGATGCTTTATGGGAGATTATGACTGGTGACATTGCTTCTGAAGGTTACCAAAGATCTTATATATGTCTCTAGCAGTTCCTGGGGACCCATTATGCCTGCGGTTCTCAACCTGTGGGTCGCGACCCCTTTGGCAGTGGAGGACCCTTTCACAGGGGTCGCCTAAGACCATCCTGCATATCAGATATTTACATTACGATTCATAACAGTAGCAACATTACAGTTATGAAGTAGCAACGAAAATAATTTTATGGTTGGGTCACAACAAGAGGAACTGTATTTAAAGGGCCAGAAGGTTGAGAACCACTTCTATGCAGTTACTTATGAAGTGATCAAAGTTGTTTTTTGGGTTTTTTTTTGTTTGTTTGTTTAAATAGAGAGGAAGGAAGAAGGAAGGATAGAGGGCTAGAAACATTAATGAGACAGGAACATCATCAATCGGCTAACTCCTACATGCCCCACACTGGGGATTGAGCCCACAACCTGGGGATGTGCCCTGACTGGGAATCAAACCAGTGATCTCTTGGTTCCTGGGTCAGTGCTCAACTGCTGAGCCACACTGACCAGGCTCAAAGTTAGTTCTTGAATATGTTAGAATTCTCATCCTTTTGAGCTTTTGGGTTCCTTAATTTTTCTATTATCTATGTAAAACAATGGGGGAAAGTAATTCCTACAATATTGAAAATGAGGCTCTTGTTAACACAGTTATATATTTGGGTTGTCTTTAAGAAACTATTATACAACAAAATACACTTAGAGCTGCATTTAATATGGTCCTAGATTTCAAAGGTACTTGAGAATCATCATGAATTGTCTCATAATACAACTAAAATGAGTCTCTTCAATGGTTCTTTCTTGCTATGTGGCATCTGAATAAAGATTATTCATATTTATGGTCCTTTTTATTTGTATTTAAATGACCATCTTTAGACTTTTATCCTCACTATAGGATTTGATATTAATTATTCTCTATACTTGTCAGGATCTTAGATTTTGAACAAGTGATAAAAAGCAAGGATATAAACAAAGAAATTTCTGATTAGTCTTTTGCCTGAGAGGGTTCTGTGTATAACTGTATTACCTGAGGTGGTGATATGTCTAGTGCAGAGCAGAGGGCTGTGAGTTTGTAGTCAAAAAGTGTGCATCTGGGCTCCACCACTGAATGATATTTTACTTAATCTCTGAGCCTGTCTTGCTGGCTTTCAGAACCTAAGTGTTATAACTGTTTTAAAAGGTGGAAGGCTCCTTTTATATGATTTCCCACATCCTGCTTCTAAAGATGAATTAATGGAGATAGTTCTGCCCTATCTCTTAAGGAGGCTGGTGACAAATGAGATAAGGGCACAAAATTTCATTACAGTGAAATCGGCACTGCTAGAAAAATACCATCAGCTGTGAACTTTCCCCTCCTTCAAGCATTATGAACCCCTGAACTTTTGCATAGGAAAGAACTGGCTAACCAAACCTGTTTGCTTCATCTCCAGAATCACTCTCTTGGCTGTTTCTTAGTGTCAGATGGAGCTGATAGGTTGGGAATAAGAGGTTGAGATAAGATACAAAACCCATGAATTTTGGTCTGTGTATTGGAGTTGATTGAAAGAAATAGTTTAACAGATAATTATTTGCTTTTCAGACACCACTAAAGAAAACCAAGGCTCTCATCGGAGAGATGGGGATGACTTTCTCCAGCGCTGTAAGTTTTAAAGCCAATTTAATGTTGTTAAACTTTAATTGTGTTTATGTTCTACGAAGGAACACTCGCTTTTGGGTAGTCTCTTTTGTTTTTTCTTCCCTAGTTAGAAAGCCTGATCTGAAGGAGGGATCTCATTTAATGTGATAAATTCTGTTAATTGAAATATTACTTCTTACCAATTGGAGATTAACTGCAGGCACTTTCTAAGCCAGTCTTTTCTGCAACTCAGAACTAGAGAATTTTACTTCAAAACTGACTGTTTGAGGTTTGAATGTGGATTGTAAGCATCAAATAACATTAATGCTATGTAAACTGTTCCATGCTAAAAACTTGCAGACCACTTTACAAAGCCCAGTTAATCATGGAAGCCAAACCTGGCAAAGACAATAGCAACAAAGCCAACAACAGTTGTATGTATGTGTGAATATATAAAACAAATATATGTATATATCAACATAGATACAAAGACTCAAATGCTAGCAAACTTGAGGACCATGCACATACACAAGTAAGTGGTAACTTATTAACGTCAGGAAATCCATTGAACAGCAGCCTTGTGTTGTGCTTTAGGGCGCCGACTCTGGAGCCAGTCCGCCTGGTTTCACATGCTCTCTGCCTCTTTTCCAGCTATGTGACCTTAGGCAAGTTATTAAGCTTTCTGGCCCTTGTTTTCCATATTTATAAATGGGAGTACTAAAACTTACCTCAGGGTTTAAGTGAATTGATACATGTAAAGCAACCACTTGTATCCCTGCCTGACTTATAATGATTTCAGTCATCCCTTGGTATCTGTGAGGGATTGGTTCCAGGACCACCCCCACCCCGACAGATACCAAATCTGTGTGTGCTCAAGTCCCTTACATGTAATAGCACAGTATTTGCATGTAACCTAGGCACATACTCCTGTCAACTTTAAATTATCTCTAGGTTACTGATAATGCCTAATGCAATGAAAATACTATGTAAACAGTTGTTACACCGTATTGTTTCGGGAATAGTGACAATAAAAAGTCTGTACAAGTTCAACACAATGCAACCACATCATAGACCTAGTTATACTGTTCACATCGGCAACAACGTAACTTTTTTCCCCTGAACATTTTCAATCTGAGGTTGGTTGAATCTGTGAATTTGGAACCCACACATACAGAGGGCTGGCTGTACTACACAATGGTGGTTGTTATATTGTCCACCAACATGGAATTGGTAGTAAAAGAAGGATAGTTATATGTGCATTCCAATAGATGCTTGAAAATTCTCTGAAATGTTAGCATCTTTTCCTGGTAATTTATTAAACTGTTGGAAGAATACATCCTTATGATGAATACTTCAGACAAATGGCACACCTATAGTTAAGGTGAACTACTCTGGTCACTGTTGTTAGACAAAGGGCTAATGCCTCTTGCTTAATACTGTTCTGAACTGTCTAGTCGTTGGCATAAGTCTTACAGAATTAAGAGGTAAAACTATTGGGAAAAGACAAAATTAATATTTCCATTTGTTTGGATTGTCTACCTAGAAAACAAGAGAGTTGTTGGAAAACTTTTAATAGAATTTAGTAAGGTAGGAATGAAAAAACAAAACAAAAAAAACTTCCTTATAACCAGTTAGAGAAATATGGGAGGGAGAAAAGATCACATTCACATAGCAGGAAAATTCAGACTCTGGAAATAAGCTGGTGGTGGCTAGTAATGGTTCTTTAGGACCTATATAAATAAAGTTACAGAACTTTGTAAGTGATGTAATAAAAACTACTTAATATGAAGACATGCACATTACTTTCCATGGGAAAATACAAGATTATAAAGTATTCTAATCAGAATTCCAGTAAGATTTTTTTATGCTGAATTCAGTGAATCCAAAGTTATCTGGAATAATAAGTAGGTTAGAACAATTAGGGTAATTTTTTTAAAGGAAGAAATTGCTTTACTGGGTACTAAAATTTAATATGAAGATACAATAAACAGTGTGGTATTCCCAAAAATTAGCTTAGGAAACAAAAAAGGGAAAGAATTAAAAGAGTTGCCAATGTAAAAATTACAAAAGTCAAACATCTAACAAAATTAAAAGGCAAAAGTAAAAAATGGGAAGTAGTTATAGTATGACTGAATCCTTCCTTAATTCCAATTTTATGTAACAAGAGGCCAGTAGCTCAAGAGGAAAAAATGTGCAAATCACATGAACAGATCATTCCCATAAACACAGTTGGTCAGTGTGCATGTGGAGAATGTTCATCAGTATTTAAAAATGTCAAATCCAATAAAAGGCCAAATAAATACTAAGTATTTAAAAAGGATACTATGTAATTTTGGCAAAGGTGTGCTCAAATGAGCCTTCCTTCTCTGCTGGTGGAAGTATAAGCTAGTATTACCCTTCTGTTAAATGTGCATTAAGAGTTATACAGATATTATTGGGTAGAATGGGATAAGTCTATTGATGACAGTAGCTAATAGAAACATAAGTAGAAAAAAAAATCTGTCATATATAAAATGATACAGGAAATACATAAAGCTACAGATCAGCCTGAACATGACCCTCTACTTCTCAGCCACATTAAATTCAAGTAGTAGTTTTTATTTGGTTAAGACCTAGCTCCCACCACACTGTGCTCCTTGTATGTAAATATTTATTTGAGGTGAGGTTAGAATAGCATTATTTTATCCTGCAGAAAGAAACCAGCTAAAAAAGAAATCTGTTCCTTGGTTTGTTTTATCTGCTTTACTGTCTCTACTACATTACATATGGCAGCTTGGAAATGTGTTATATGCAAAGAATATTTTTGTATCAGGGCAAACTAGAAATTTGAAGTTAAAATATTGAGCAACTTTCTTTTATTCTTTTTAGAAATTATGGGAAATTCATCTTTCTTGTGTAACTGTCCTTGTTGCTTCTGTTTCCTTTGTAGTATGTGCCAAGTGCTCTTTGCTGCCCAAGCCGTGCCAGTATCCTGACAGGGAAGTACCCACATAATCATCACGTTGTTAACAACACTTTAGAGGGAAACTGCAGTAGTAAGTCTTGGCAGAAGATCCAAGAACCAAATACTTTCCCAGCAATTCTCAGATCAATGTGTGGTTATCAGACCTTTTTTGCAGGAAAATACTTAAATGAGGTATGTTGGTCTAATTATTCCTCCCCCCCCTTTTTTTATAACAGTTTTTTAAATGTGAATTAATAGAATTCATGATACTTGTTTCTTAATAAGTATTCATTCACATCATGTTAAAGGATTTTTGGCAAATGTTTTCTCCTAATCTGCCCATAAATAAGAACTTATATGAACATATTTATATCATTTGGGTATTTATTCTTCTAAATAGTCTCAGGAGCACTTATTGAAAAATTATCCTCGGACTGCTCCAGCAGGGTGCTCGGTTGGCTGGAGCATCATCCTGTACACCAGAAAGGTTGCGAGTTTGATTCTTGGTCAGGGCACATAGGTTGCAGGTTTGATCCCGGTCAGGCCTGTACTGGAGGCAGTTGATTGATGTTTATTTGTTTCTTTCCCTCCATCCCTCCCCCTCTCTCCTCCCATTCCCTCCTTTTCTCTCTCTAAAAAAAAGTCAGTGCTCACTTCAGCAACACATATACTAAAATTGGAACAATACAGAAAAGGTTAGCATGGCCTCTGCACAACGATGACATGCAAATTCGTGAAGCGTTCCATTAAAAAAAAAATCAATAAAAGCATATCCTAGCCAACTGGAGTGGCTCAGTTGGTTGAGCCTTTTCCTGTTCAGTGAAAGGTTGCCGGTTCCATTCCCGGTCAGAACGCATACCTGGATTGCATGTTCAATCTCTGGTCTGGCCACATAGGGAAGGCAACCAATCGATGTTTTTCTCTCTCCCTCTCCTTTTCCCTTTCCCTCTCCCTCACTCTAAACATGTCCTCGGGTGGAGATTAAAAAATAAATAAATAAATAATTCTATGGTGAGGATTAAAATAATAATAATTATCCTAGGACTGCTGCTGTGTACATCCCCTTTTTACTCAAGAACTCTGCTTGTCATGTGGCTGCCATGTGATCTTTGTTTCCATTTCCTCTGTATTAGGATCAGAATGAAGAATATTTCTTTAGTATCTTTCCTGAATTACAACTTATGCTTAACCCATTTTGTAACCTGAAAAGTGGGAACAGAATGTGGGCCGATCAGTGGTAAAGAGAAAGCACCCAGAGCCTGGGACAGTCAGGCCATTAAAGCAGGTGACTGAGTGGTCAGTGTGCAGCCATTTGGGCCTCGATGGAGAGAGACCGCATTGTGACCTGCCAAGGCCAGATTTCATGGCCTCACTGGCCTTAGCTTTTAGTCAGAATTCAGGTTTAAAGGAAATAGTGTGTTTGAGGGTATTTGGGGTTATCTCCTATAGTAAAACTGGGAGTGCAGGACAGAGAGAAGATGTACATTTTCTTATATATGTTGTCTGTGGTTGCTAGAGATCTTAATATCTGATCTGAAATTTTTTTCATTTTTCCTACTCCCCACAGTAATTAGGGGAATTTGCAATCTTGTGGGTTTGAAAGAAGATGACTCAGTTTGAAAAGAATAATGAGAAATAAGTACAGATACTAGGTCATTGTGTTAAGACTATGGGTCATAAAGAGAACTTATGCTATTTTGCATGTTAAAGAGCATCTAGTATATACAAAATTAGGAGAAAGTCTTTAAAATACAAAGATTTAGCCCTAGCTGGTTTGGCTCAGTGGATACAGCATCAGCCTACAGACTGAAGGGTTCCAGCTTCAATTCCAGTCAAGGGCACATGCCCAAGTTGTGGGCTTAATCCCCAGTAGGGGGCATGCAGGAGTCAGCCGATCAATGATTCTCTCTCATCATTGATGTTTCTATCTCTCTCTCCCTCCTCTCTGAAATCAATAAAAATATATACTAGTATTTTAAAAATTTATATATATATAAATATAAATATAAATATAAATATAAATATAAATAAAATACAAAGATTTCGTTCTCAGGGGCTAAATTCTGCCTTAAATGGGCAGTATTAAACCTTGCTGAGGTAGAATGGGATAATTCTGTGGTCTCTTCACTTGCTCATCTCATTAGGTCTCTTCACTTGCTAAGCTCCAAAAGTAGATTTCATCATCAAGACAATGGAACTTATTGGCTGGTAGCTCATAGTTGGGTCATTTTCACTGTTGCTAGTCACAGGGTCAGTTGGACTATTCAGCAAATGAGCCCTGTGGCCTAAGCCATGTGGTCGTCTTCTGTAAAGGGCCAGAAGTAAATAATTTAGGCTTTGCAAGCCATATGTCTCTGTTGTAAGTATTCAACTCTGTCATCATAGCATGAAAGCAGCTATAGACGTTACGTAAACTGACGAGTGTGGTTGTGTTCCAATGAACTTTATCCCCACTGAAATTTCAATTTCATGTAGCTGTCACATGTTACAGCATATTCTTCTTTTGATTGGTCTTTATATTTTTTTAATGTTTGGAAAAAAATTCTTAGCTTGCTGGCCATACAAAACAGTTAGCAGTCTAGATTTGGCCTGTAGTTCGCCAGCTCGTGCTTCCAAAGTTTCTAGGAATATGGTGTCCTTTATTTTTTGCTGGTTTGTGTGCTTGGGAAAAGTGAGCACCTACCGTGTTTCAGGGACTGATCTAAAAAGATTCTACACGTGTCCTGTTTCTTTTGTCTCATCATGTCTAAGGACTTCTAATGCCCTGCTTGTCTGCTTTTCAGTATGGAGCCCCAGCTGCTGGTGGGTTAGAGTACGTTCCTCCGGGATGGAGCTACTGGTATGCCTTGGTGAGTGATTACCGAAGTCAGTGCCAACTACACACAGCCCACAGAGGTCAAATGTGTGTACTCTGATTTAGCTCTGATATTGACATAACTTGGTTTGCTTTTATGATTGGCTGTTTCATCTCCCTGCAGGAAAGTCTTTTGATTTGCAAGTAATTCCTTTGTGGGAGTTTAGGAACATATTTTGCTATTCTACCTGATCCACTCTTGATTTTGTTTTTTTTTAAAGTAGGACAGGCCTGGCCCGTGTTGCTCAGTGATTAGAGCATCAGCCCATGCACTGAAGGGTTGCAGGTTCAGTTCCCAGTAAAGGGCATGTACCTGAGTTGCCTCTCTGGCTCCAGTTGGAATGTGTGTGGGAGGCAACCAATCATTGTGTCTCTCTCACACTGATGTTTCTCTCCCCCCCACCCCTTCTTTCCCTCCCTTCCACTCTCTAAAAAAATCAATGGAAAAAATATCCTTGGGTGAGGTTTAACAAAAAATAAATA